TACTTTTTTAATGGTTAATAATTAATATTAATGTGAAAATTCGTTTAATTTTTATCCATTACAAATTACCTCAATGAGCAAAAATAGTTGCTGCTGTAGTGGATAAAAATAAAATGAATTTTCACATTAATGTTAAATATTAACGACTACAAAAAGTTTATTAAAGTATATGTTAATAAATAATTGTTTAGCTATCTAATGAATTTGCAATTTTGTTTAATTAATTTGACTTATAGATAAGGTACCATTAAAGTACCATTTGACTTTTATTATGGTCATCATTTCGTTATAAAACTAAATTCAAAGTCCACACGACGGTCGATTGGAAAATATTTGGATTGAAAAATAGTCTTAGCAACAAGATAAGTCCCTCCAGTGAAGCTACTGATAAGGCGTATACAAATTAACGTAAACGTCCCCGTGGTATAATAATCGTAATCAATTATAAAAATCTGATCATGAAAACGTATTGTAGTAACTACTAAAATATATAAAAAATACAAACAATACAGTAAAAAGAACAATCAGAAAATAATACTTTGGATAGACATTGTTATGAGTGTGTTTATTTGTTTAATGAATTATAAAGGGGTCGCTATTAATAAGAGGCTTAGATAAGACAGACGAAATGTTGGTTGCATACTTGAGTATTGATGAATAATTATTTATTGCTAAATATCGTGCTAATGTGCAAATGTTATACATGAGTATGACCTTTTGTTATTGACTGCATTTAAAACTATTTTAAAACCTTTCTACCATACAAAATATCAACTATTTATATACAAAACGATTAAATCATTTATATTTCTAGAGTAATAGTGTACGAGTTACATCCTAATTACTAAAAAGAGGTTATTTTATAATATAAAAAAGTATAAAACCACTTTAACCTGCTTTACCTGCATATCTATATTATAACAAATAACTAGCGATTATATTATATTATTTGTCAATAAAAATTTGTAATTAGCTCCCAACTTTACATTACATTTAATGGAGGACAAGTAAACTGATGAAAAGGCAATAGAAAATATTTAACTCACCACATTTATCATTAATAAAAGTGAGTTCTTACACTATCAAACTGGCGAATAAATTTTATGAATCATGTTGTTTTGATTTTCCAAAATTCTCGGAATTATTCATGGATGTACATGAGGTTGCCTGATTGTAGGGCAATGCATTTAATTAATAAGTGGGTCGTTCTATAAAAACCACAGAGTACCTTATCAACTCATAGAATATTAAATTAGAAGTAGCTTTCAGAAGAAAAAAGTTTTTTCATTGATAGTTTATTGTGGTCCATTTTTTTCTAAATTATAAACTAACATTATACTTACAGAACGAATTAATAATTAAAACAAAATAGTAATGAGCTAAACCTTTTGGATTCACATAAATAATTCTATGTATACTGCGCAATAAATTAATTAAAAGGTTCAGTTCACTTTCTTAGGGGAATTACCGAAAAGAACTGATGTTTTGAATACTACTATAAAAAAAAAATAAAAACGATAAGAATCATCTTTGTATTATAACCTACAATATTAAAACGGATTTTTTGACTATTATTATGGCTTATTATTAGTTTTAAGTTTCAATACTATGTTAGGATAAGTATACAAGTCACAGTATTTAAAGCTATTAGTTTCAAAGCATAAATCAATAATAAATATGCAGCAGTTATCAAAACTTCTTTTAACAAAAGTGTTACAACCAAATATTGTTAGTAAATTAAATACTAATTCTGCCAACAAACCATACAAACCATTTAAATTTAGTATAACTGAAGCGATAAAGCACATATTTCACGACCTGAACAATTGGTATGTTAACTTTATAGGTTTGGCAGAAGTAAAAAAGTACCAAGACAGAGTGGTGCAAGTGCAGGTATGACTTAAAAAACTTAGTTTATAGTAGGTATCTTTACTGATGAATTTACAATAGGCCCAATTATTAGAAACCCAAGAAAAGCGAAGGGAAATTGGTAAACTACTTGCAGACATACGAATCAAATCCACTCAACTGCAAGACGAAATACATAAACATAAAAGAGAGGATGATTTAGACAAGTTCTTGGAAGTGATGAGGGAAGAAACTGAGGTATAGTTCATGTTAATCGATTGTAAATAAATTAATGTTAAATGTAGATAAATCGCTTTAGATTTTGAGAAAAGAAAAAGAAGTTGCAAGGCAATTTAACGAATACGACAGAACAGAAAGGGACTTGTTCACCGTCTTCACAAATGCTGTTAGGGAATCCCACGAGAAGCAACGTTCTCAACTGGAATACACCAAATATCTTGGACTGGTGCTAAGCATAGTTGGTTCCTTCTTAACGTTTTGTTATTCTTCATTAAAGAAACATGAACTTAAAAGTTTCATTGACGAAAAGCTGAGTGGTTATTCTAATGTAGACACCACAAGGTTATGTGCACAGTGCTTAAAAGTTGCTGAGAAGAATCATGATCTATTAAAGAATTTTATAAGTATAATTGGTGAAATCAGTTTAGCTATAAAGGAAGTGATTCCTAAACGAGAAAGTTTGGTACCAAATGTTGGTTCCCCACCAAATTATCAAGCGTTAGAGAATAATGTCAAAGTTGCAGAGATATTAACTATTGGAGCAATGGTTTTAATTTTTATTGGAGCTATAGGCTGCTGTTGTGGTCGCTAATGCCTGTTGCCATTATTAGTATAAGAATACGTATTAAGCATTTATCGTGTATATTTATTTATTAAATATAAACACTCAGTAAAACAAATTATTAGTAATAATTTTGTGCTTTTATTATGACTAAAAGCCACTTATGCAAGTAATTAAATCTTGTAACAAATACGTGTCATAGAACAAACGAGAAACAACAGTTTTAATTGTTACAAAATATTAACGAGCCTCTTTTGTCTCAACCAACGTTACGCCACTGTTTTTCTACAAAAGTATAAAACTTCTTGTTTAAAAAGTGTATAAGTAAAAAGCGCAGTATTCACCTTAATAACAAACTACAAGACTTCTAAGAAAGGGGTAAATAGATATATGCTACAAAAAGGTAGACGTTATTAATGAAAGTGGTAAATTTTGCGAATAAACAAGTGGTTCATTGGCAGACAACAAACTTTCATTTGTTTTTAAACTAATGTCAATTTTAAATGTCGTTTACGCGAAATACGAAGTAAATAGTGCAATATTCACCTTAACAAAAAGTATAACGCATGTAATAAAAAAGCAAATAATAAATATTTGCTACAAAAAGGCGGATGTTATTAATGAAAGTAACAAATTCTGTGAATGAACAAGTGGTTCATTCACAGACAACAAACTTTGATTTGTTTTTAAAGTATTGTCTTTAAATGTCATTTATGCTAGAAAACACATTTATTAATGCAATAATAATAACAAATAATAATAAACAGTGCATAAAAAAGCGAAAAGATCACTATCGAACATAATTCATCGTTGATGTTGACACTGTTTTGTCAAAGTCGTAAGGCTAATTAGATAGTTAAATAAACTTTTCTACGTGAATTTAATGCTGCTAGCATCAAAACACCCTCGTAATATAAACAAAACAACAGCGAATAATCAGATTCGAAAAAATGTAAAAAATTGTAGGTTACTTTTAACCAAGTTCTAAAAATTTAAATTAATGGTAATTATTACCTTTCTGAAGTTTGGTTCTTTTTCGTGTCCATCAAAACAAGACAAATTCATCACACACGCTCACTTATTTACATGTGAATAACAATTTCGAATTTAAACTGACGCAGTGACACGCACTAATACACGAAATGCACCCCAAACGCATGCTGCAAGAACTTTTATAACCTCGGTTTGTCCAACAATGGGACGCCATTATGATTTTACAAAATGCATGTTTTTTCGAAAAATAATAGTACGATTTTGCTGAAATTAATTTTGAGACTTAATATAAACGTATTACAGCTGTTTATGCAAAAAAAGTTATTAAACTTGCCCCCAGAAAAAATTTTCTTTGCGACACCTGAGACTCTCTGTTACTACGTCATCGGTCATACAGGGCGACATTTTTAATGTGGCAGGATATAAATAAATTAAACATAAAAACTATTAAACATAATGCTTACTTGAAACTTTGATGTATAGAATCCTAAAAATTATTAATTGTCATTATGACAATAAAACAAAAGAATTACTAAGATCATTTCTTGATTAAAACTTTGATGTCCTTATTGCTGTTCCTAGAAAGACAAAAGAAACTAATAATTATTACAATGAGTAGAGGACAAAATAAATAAATAAAATTTCAACATTTAGTGTTAGTATTTTAACTTATCATTACTGCATTTAAACAAAACAAGTACATATACACAATACATTTATTTTCTTTTGTTTGTTTCTATGTATTTATATGTACACTGTATATACTGTTAATTAAAACTATTTTGATATACATTTGTTGTCTGTTTTAAGAAGAATGACTTCTTAAGGACAATGATACCTTTTTTTATGAATAAATCAGGGTACCCTTACACGCCCACATTTAAAACAGATAAAATCGGTCATTCACAAAGGCATTTACCTAAAAAAGTTGAACGACAGTAAACATAAGAAGAACGACCCCTTTTGTTACAACTAGAATGAGATGAGAATAAATTACAGATAGGTATTGTCTTGTAAAAAAAGGCATTCTATCACATCTACTTATGCATTTTGTATAGTTTTTCTAAGTAATTATTAGAATCTCACCTTTCTTTCAAACAAAAATCAGATTCTACGTAATATCTATATGCATAAAAAACAAAAAAAGGAATTATTACGTTTGTTTTGATCTCTTTTGTTCATTTATATTTATTTACAAAACCATAAACTATCCCGCCATTACCCTTTGATTTATTATAAGACTATTTCGTCTAGAATTTAACATTTTCAGAATTTTATAACTAATTAGTTATTATTAAAAAAATCACGTACTGTATTATCTAATTAAAAAAACCCATGAAGAGAATTTCATAGTCTACAGGGTGTTCACACATCACAATTTAAATACCTAACATGTTTTGCAAAAAAAAAAAAAAACAAACTGTTAGCATTCTTTACAAGAAATTATCCCAAATTTAATAATGTAAATCATTAATATTCAGTGCATGGTAGTGCTTAACGTTACGCTTAAAACTGTACATTTATTGGTCAATACACTTTTCGCATAAATATGTAAATAAAATTAATCCTCATTTCGTGTTCTGAATTTAAATGATTAACCTAAGGAAGAAAAGACACATTTTTTGTTCTTGCGGTACAACAGCGAATTTATACAGCAAAAAAAAAATCGCTAGCTATTACTAACAGGTTTCCGAAGTAAGAAAAAACAAACGACAAGCGCTGAAGGAGTATATAAAACAAGTGGTAAAGGTGCTGGAATTTGTCATTCTCATTGCTATTTTAACTGCACCTAGCCTTGACAAAACATTTATTCCTTCGAGTTGATGTAATTACTTCTTCTTATGCACCTCCTGTGAACTGGACGTAAGTTTTGCTTTCACTGCCATCGAATCAATCAGAAAGCTTCCAGGTAAGTTTTTTTGCTATACTTTTTTTCCCTTAAAATGGTACTTTTTATTTTAATGTTTAGAGGCTTGTTTAAAAAAGTATCTATCAATCACAAGCTTTCGAGTAAGTTTTCAAAAGATTTTTGCTTGTTCTCAAAGAGGACATTGTTTTTAAAATCGAAATCTGAATGTTCTTCAATTTTTTTATATTCAGTTTTACGCAATCGTTATTGCGGTTCTTTTGTTATTATCTTAGTAGAGAGTGTTTTCAATTTTTTAATTTCTGTTAGGCTTATGTTTAGAAAAAGCTGAAGTGTATAATCAATTGTTATTTTTTTTCCCTCAATTGAATCACTTATTTCAATTCTCCTTCAAGTTGTAATAACTATTCATGCAATTAAAGTGTTCATATTTTATTCTTGCAAAATTGTTGATTGATAAATAGTTGGTAGATAATTAATTTTGTATAAATACGAAATTCTGTTACTAATTATCCTTTTTGCATAAATTAAATCAATCATATGAAAACGTTCATAATTTCTTAAAAAACAAAAAATGGTGACATTTCTTTTACTAATAATATAATTGAAAATAAACTGTTTACTACAAATAACTGTTACTAATTACGCGGTTTGTAATTATTATAATTTATCTGCAGAGTATAAACATGGAGAAAATGTCGTAATTTATTTTTAGGACTTTACCCTCGTCTTAATAGTGGTACGCCACTGGTAATTTCAAACTATATGCCTACACTTATAATTAATAGTATAAAATATTGTGCATAATTATTAATGCTGTTCACCTTCAATTACCTATAACTATCGGAATAATTTATTTGTGTGTTTAACACAATTTCCGACTCTATTTTTGCAATTCATTTGTTTTGATATACAAATGCACTTATTTGTTTTTAATTATTTCTGTCTAATTTTATTTTATTTTTAAAGAAATATCTATA